ATTTCAGATCATTTTTGTATCTTACAAAATACTGATATATGATATATGTATATATATATATATATTTCAGAACAAATTACATGAAATTTGTATGAATTGGTTGCATGTCAGATCATGTTTGTATCTTACAAAAAATGATATGTATATATATATATACATATTTAATTTCAGAACGACTGATAACATGCCACTTCTTTTATTTGGGTACCCCCGATTTGTTTGGTTTCAAGGTTCCGAGGTTCCATCACTCACGCGTTTCCCCAGATGGGGGTAGTTTTGATTTCCAAGGCCAATTAATCAAACAAAATTGACATAAATATTTTTCAGTGCTTCGCACTTTCAGGTTTTCCCCTGTTTTGTATGTATATAGATTTCTTGAAATATATTTGATTTGTTTGAAAGAAAGATAGATAGATAGATAGATAGATAGGTAGATAGGTAGATAGGTAGATAGGTAGATAGATAGACATATATATATATATGTTTATTTATGTTTGATGAAATATTTTGATATAGTAAGGAAACCCACCCACCAAACCCTTTTACCCCCCTGAGCAGTTCCTCGTCGACTTCAGCCAGAGTGTGGGTCTTGATCTCGGGAATTATTAAATAAACCTTCCCATTAACCCCCGTTTGTGGCAGGGTGCAGTGTTGTTCCGTGGCAAGGCGCAGACACGAAATAAAACACACAGTATGCATAGCATACATTATTTTTTGCACTAATAGTTCACTTCTTGAGGGAGTTTTCGGATCTCTTTGAAACAAAATACTTGGGAAGGGGCAACAATATATATATATGAAATATGATGAAACCTAAAAATAAAACAATTACAAATGATTAAAATTGATGAAACAATATATCACAATAAAGACCATGTAAAGACAATGCCAAAAGGAAAACAGGTGATGAACAAAATGAAAATGGATGAACATAAAAAGTGAAAAAACAAAGACACAATGATGAAAGCTGATGAGACAAAGAACGGAAGAAGAAAACAGATGAACACCAATCCTGGAAGTGGAAAAAATAGATGAACACTCATGGTAAGCTGCTGAAATATGCGGAACAACGATTGCAAACCAATGGAAATGCTGAAATAGGTTGTGCAGTTGCTTGGAAAACAATGTTTGGACCCTTTGGGTTTCCCTAGAAGCAAAACTACCGCTGCGCGCCCAAACGTGTTTTTGCGCGCGAAAGGGCTGAAAAGGTCTTTGCCCCTTGGGCTCAGGGGGTGGGGGGGTGGGCTACCTTGAGCCCAAAACTAAGGTAAACCCTGTTTAGGTCAAAACCTAGAGCGCGCTACACTAAGCTCCTACAGTTTGGACCCTTTGGGTTTCCCTAGAAGCAAAACTACCGCTGCGCGCCCAAACATGTTTTTGCGCGCGAAAGGGCTGAAAAGGTCTTTGCCCCTTGGGCTCATCCCCCTCCCGCCATTTCGGCACTTGCAACGGCAACTGCCCGGGCGCGAAACGCGCCTCGGGCCTGTTGGCAGCGAGCCCGGGCGACACAGGGCCGCCGTGGCACAAAATTGGGTCTTCACGTCGGTGCTAGGTCAGTGTTCAACATAGATGCTGCCATTCCCCGGGAATATTCCCGGTCTTCCCACAAATAGGAATGGAACGCGTCGCTCGCCCAACGTCCAAACCTTCTCACAACAGATGCGTCTTTGAATGCCGTCCATAGCGCGCTTGCACCACCAAAACGTAATGAGTGCGAACCAATTGTTCCGCCCACACCACATTGGCAAGCGGCTTCTCTCAGCAGCATCTGAATCGCTTCCCTTTGGATTCCCTCTCCCGAGGGAGTTCTAAAGAGTGGCTCCGTGGCTTCGCAGCCGCCCAGATATCTCTCCGGAAATTTCTGGAACAGCTGGACAACCGACTCTACTGGGCAGACTTGGTTTCCAGTCCGGTAGTGATTGCGATTTGTCTCCAAGTTGTAATTGGTCTTGCTGCCGACGAGCTTGACCCGAACTTCGTCGGCCTCTGCCAGGTTGCTGATAGTGCACAGGTTACCATGGGAGTACAGCAGTACCTGGTGGCCCTTCAGGTGTCTCGAGAGAGGAAGGTAACCAAGGGGAAGGAATTCAGAGGCCCTCAACAGAAAGAAGAACCCAAGGCAGATCCCAGCCCACAGGAGCACAGACTCCGGGCTCGAAGACGAGCCACGGAGGCGATCATGCAGATAGTTGAGCATCCTGGGGGTCACTGGCGCCCTCCTTTCAGGAACCTTGTAACGCCTTCGTAGGCCTGCCAGTGCCATGGCAACTCTTCCTCGGCCTTCCAAGGGATCTTCCATGCCGAGTGAAAGGTGGACGCTGCGCACTGCGGCCAGCCGAAGCTTCAGCGTTCCCGGTGCGCGCCCTTCATTGCAGGCACAGTGCAGGAGAAAGTCGATGAGGAGTGTTTCTTCTGTCTTATTGCTTGAGGGGCCAGTGAGAATCCAACTGACTCCTCTACGAGCGCAAAAAAGCCTCCACCACTTGAGTTGAGATTCATAAGTCCGCCGGGTGGAGATGGCGAGGCGATCAAGAGCGACACGAATGGCTTCCTCGTGATAATCTTCTTTGCATTTCAAGCGTAGGCCCAGCTTGGGTCCAGTCGTCCCTTGCGCCGCCCTAGCAGCCTGAGGGCTACCCAGCCGCCTCGGCTTCTCGAGACTCTGTTTCTTACCCGTGGCTTGACTGGTAGGAGATCCGGCAGCCGCGAGGGACTCGTGGTAGGGTTCGAATCGGACCTTGCGGCCCCTAGGACCCCCCACACGGGTCTTTTCCTGACCTTCTTGTGGGTCCCCGCAAGGTTCACCCCAGTGCCAGCAGACCCCAGCCAGGTACAGACCCAGTGCCACCGCCAGCAAGAGCCAATGCGCGATGGCGTGATTCGTGTCCCTTTCAGCATCGTTGTTGCGCCCTGGGCCTCGTATCGAGCCACGAGACTGGGACGGTGCGGCAACTCTTGCACACTCTTGGCAAGGGGCGAATCGCACCACGTTCCTTCCTCGGGTATGCCCACACCGCGGTTTGTGCCAGCGGGCCCCGCTCCAGGTGGCTTCCACGCTCCCCTGGTAGTCATCGACTTCGGAGATGGTCACGCAGTCTTTGCATGCTTCAAGCCAAAGGGTAGAAGCATCCGTGCGGGGGCAACCTTCTTTGTGCCAGTTTGCTCTGCGGCGGTCAAGACCCCTTTGGGACGGGCGCGGGCTCCTTCGCCGAGGATTGTCCGGTGCCGGGCTCGAAGTCGAGCCTCGGCTACCGCGACGGTGGACCTCCGTGGCGCTACTGGTTGAGGCGTGCCTGCCAGCCGCAACTTCATGCCGGTGGGGGGCTCTGGGAAGGTTGTCCCTTGGCGAGAGAGCCAATGGGTCGGTCCTTGCGGGACTGTGGGCAAGGCTGCGTCGGCACGATCCCCAGGCAAGGCCTAAAAGAATTCCGGTGAGGAGAACGAGGCCGAGCAGAACTGTCCCCTCGGAAACTAAATTTGGGGGCAACCTAGCCCCAGCGAGGACCATAGCATGGTCGTTCTCTTGCCCATGGAAATGTGCGATCGCGTGGTTGGTGTCACGCTCCGCATCATCATTGCGCGTGGGCGACAAGGCTCCCTCCGGCACAGCCCGAGCTTCCGCTTCCTTTGCAGCCCGGTTTCTCTTCTTCGTGGCTTTTCTTTGGCGGGAGTCCGGTGCCCTACGGTATTTGGGCGCCGCCCCCCTTCCTTGTTCCTTCAGATGTTCCCGAAACTCAGCTATCTCCCTCCGAGCCGCCTGCTGTCGTGCTTCTTCGGCTCCCTCGGGTGTTTCGATTGGTTCGTGCTTGGTGCTTCCTTCCGAAGGGGCGCCTCTCTGAAGTCCCTCCCTGTGAGCCTGGGCCCGCAAACGCGCCTTTTCTCGGCGGCGCGCCACCCAGACGCTGACTCCTGCTTCAATTTCCGAAGTGAGACGGTCCGAACTAAGGACCTTGGCGGTCTTGGAGGGTCGAGCTGGGTTGAATCGTTCAAGCTTTCTCATGTACTCGCCCTGGCTATCCAGAGTTTCCAGATACCGGGAGTCTTCTTCTTCACATTGGCGAACCCTGTGCGTCTCAGCTTCAAGGGCTTCCTTGATTCCTTCGGCGGCTTCCTTTCGCTGCTGGGTGAGGCGTTCCAGGTCTTCAACTAGAGCTGCTTTCTCGCCTCCCGACCCTTCCGCTTCCTTCAAGGCACTTTGGAGGTTCTCCCAGTTGGCAGTGTCGGCCTCAGCGAGGGCCTGGAGCAGTTTGACCTTTCCCGTGCCAAGCTTGAGACCCTGCGCCGGGACCAGTTTTCGCTCCTCCTGGGGTTGCCCGGGCTCTACTCTACCAACCGGCCGATACCTTGCGGGGAGCCCGATGGGCGAGTCCTCCTCTGAATCCTCTGCGGGCGGAGGTTTGACCCGTTCCAGGGGAAGGCTTTCGGGTTCCGCACCCTGCTCATGTTTGGGTTCGAGATGCCCTGGTTTGGGGCTTCCTTTGCCGGGTTCTGGGTCCTGATGCTCCTTCACCAGCGTGGGTTTCCAGCTCGATCCGGCAGAGGTGGTACCGGGCGCGAGGCGCGCCTCGGCAACTTCTTGCCTTTCTTCCCGCTCAATCAAGCCGGGGTTGAGCTTGATTTCCGCCTCGGCCGATCCTCGGTCGCCTTCTTTCATCACTGTTCGGGTCGCGGGTGCTGGGGGCTCTTCCGGGCCCGTGTCACTCTCTTCCGATAAGTTCCAATCTGCTTCGGAGAGCGTGACGACGGTCGGTTCCAAGGTTCGTGGGTCCACCTGGACCTCCTCTTCTCCCTCTTCCACCTTGAGCCCGGCAACAGCCGACGCCAAACCGGTCGCGGTCTGAGCAAGGCCCTCCTTTAGGTCCTGTTCCTGCTTAAGGCTGCCGGGTGGCCAGGCGGGGAGCCTTGAGCCAGAGCCTGCAGCTCCCGCGGCGCCTGTCTTGTAGAAGGGCACTGGCGACGCCTGCTCGGGTCGGGCTCGGGCGCGAGTGCTTTCCGAAGCGAACCAAAAATCGTCAGTCGTCCATGCGACGACCTTTCCCAAGGCTTCAGGCGGGATGTCGGTATCGGCCAGCCAGACGTCGTTACCCGTCACTCTGAAAGAAACTCCGGCCTCCTGGGCTTTCCGCGTATCGACGGGCACTCTCGTCTCCAGGTCGGCCCTCCACTTGTTTGATGCCCGTTCCGGGTCAACCAAGTGAACCATTCTGCGGCTTGCTGACAGCCCACTTTGCACAATGCTGGCCGTGTGCTTGTGGTATGAGCCATGCACAAGCAGGGCAGGGACTTCGGAGGGTTCGACCAACACTCCTGGTCCGACGACCCCTGGTATGGTGTGCCCGGACCAGGCTGCCACACAGCTCCTTCCGGTGCTCTCATCTGTTCGCACCACGAAGCGCTGTTTCCAGTTGCCTTCCACTTCGGCCCGAACCGCCTCCTCAGTGAGGTACCTTTCCGGCCATCGGAGCTTCGCACGGAGGTACCCTCTCAGAAGCCTTTGTTGTTGTAAAAGGTCTTTGAGTTTTTACAAAAGAACCTCAAATTTGGCTTTGAATTTCAAACCAAAACGTTTTTACTTGCTCACCATTTTTAACAAGATTTCCCTTGAAAGGGGTCCTCAGGGTCAATGGGGTCCTGGGCGCCTTTCACCCCAAGGACCCCTTGCAAAGGAAATTGTGTTTTTTTTCACATTTTTTTCTTTCTAACTTAAGGGTTTGTGTTTTGTTTTTGTGCCTCCACACAACATTGCCCCAGAATGCACCTTTACCAAAATGCACGTGGTCAGGGCTGGCAAATTGCACCCAACCCATGTGTTTTACCGGCTTAATATTTTACTATTTCCACCATGCTACCAAAATCCTAAGACCTGCAAGGTTCAAGGGTTCAAAGGGAATGAGTTGACACTGTGATAAAGAAGCGGTGTTTTAATGATGTCACAAGTTGATGCCTGATAACTACAACATGTTCATGGTCTCAAAAAATGGCGCCTTAATAGTATCTGTCAAAAAATAACGCCTTAACAGTGTCATGAGACTACGACTACGACAACGACTACGACTACGACTATGCCTCAGCCTCAGTCAAAAAATGATGCCTTAATGGTGTCATAATGATGCCTCAGTGGTGCCAAATAAGTGATACCTCAATGGTGTCGCAAAAATGATGCCTTAATTGTGTCATAATGATGCCTGAGTGGTGTCAAATCAGTGATGCCTCAATGGTGTCACAAAAGAGATGCCTAAATGGTGTCAAAGAAGTGATGCCTTAATGGTGTCAAAGAAGTGTTGCCTTAATGGTGTCACAAAATTGATGCCTTACTGGGTGTCAAAAAAGTGATGCCTTAATGGTGTCACAACATTGATGGCGTGGTGGCGTCATGCATTCATGATGCTGTGACAGTGTCATGCAGCAGTGAAGATTGAGATATCCACCAAGTCCAGACCTCAGCGGCGCACGCTGTCAGGATGGAGTTTCCACCCCCTGGGCTTTACATGGGTATGGCCAAACAAAATCTTGGTTCTTGGGCCATGTTCTTTTGGGCTTGAAAGCTCCCAGGTTCAAAGGTAACAAACACCAGAAAGAACATCCAAAGTCTTCAATGGGTTTCCAACTCTTACCATCTGACATCGATGAAGCACATTTTGTCTCATAGTCTTGGACCCCATCTAAAACTATCCATACTGCTACTGATTGTTTAGTGAAGTGCCAAACCCCACAAAACATGTTTGTCCCTGGATGAAACAGTCATATGGGGGGGTGCCATGGAAGTTTGAGGACACCATCTCTGGGATTCCCCCATGGCATCTTACCTTATCAATTTCATGGCACCATCACGGCGACACCATCACGGCATCTGATCAATTTCATGGCACCATCACAGCGCCAGTAAAAGACACCATCACGGCATCTTATCAATTTCATGGCACCATTACGGCGCCAGTAAAAGACACCATCACGGCATCTGATCAATTTCATGGCACCATGAGAAACCAGGTGTATAACCCCCATTAAATCCCATTAATAATAGATTGTTATCTAGCGTAAACCGTAGTCAACAGATATATCTATAACTTTAATAGATTAGGAGTTATATACATCCCATTAAAAGACACCATCACGGCATCTTATCAATTTCATGGCACCATCACGGCGCCAGAAAAAGACACCATCACGGCATCTTGCCCACTTTCTTGAGGCCCGGATTCCTGCCTGAACTTGGTGAAGCGCATGGAGTTGTGTTCCTTGGCCTTGGTCGGATGCAGCGTGGCGCCAGGGAACCCATGGGCAAGAACATGTATGACTCCATTCCACCCAACTGCTGGCAGGCTTTTTTTGGCCACCGAGCTTTCAATCCGATGGGAGTATGCTGGGGATGAAAGATGTTGACCAAATCATATGGGTATGGCTCAAAATATTGAATCTGACACATCGATTCCCTATATGGCATTCAATCTTTGTGATGGTGATTGCGAACTATGACCTTTCAAACTGCTAAACATCAATCTCCCCAACTCGACTTTTCAAGCAGGTTTGAACCGGAACATGTTAGAACTGAATCAATGTAACACTGGTTTTATTTCGCTATGATGTCGTGTCGACAGATCGTAATTAAGCACATAGGATTTATTTCTCCTATTTTCCCTCAAATTTCAAATCTGCTTGACTTGGCCACCATCACATGTTGCAAAATGTTGCAAACAAAACATTTAGAATCTTCCAGAAATGACAAGGAATATTTTGGAGGAGAACATTAACAAGCAATGAGTTATATAATGATTCAGCTCAAAATGTTTGCAACATCTGATGGCAGCTACAGCTCCTGTGCATTGGTGCTGGCTACAGCTTCTGTGCGTTGACTGCCGTGGTGTGCTATGTGACTGTGTGATAGGGTGTTTTTTGAATTGTTGATGTCTGCTGGCTGCACCTCACTTTCACCCAGACCTCTGACAGCAGGTACTAGCTACCATCAAACAGGCTGGCTGCACCTCGCTATCACCAAGACCTCTGACAGCAAGCACCGCATCGTTGGCAGAATCCACTTATGGATAAAAGGAAACTCATGAATCAGAGAAATCGACAGAAACTAAGAAATCGACGGATCACAAAAAACCGACGGATGAACAGAAATCGACGCATATCAAAAAGCCGACGGATGAAAAAAAAACGACAGATAGCCAAAAACGATGGATGAACAGAAATCAACGGATAACCCCAAAAGACAAGGATCACAGAAAACCTCTGAGAAGAGGGGGTGGTTGGTTACAACAGAACTCTACTACAGATAAGCTGATGCCAAAGAACTGTTGAATAAAATTTTATTCTTTAGATCTTGGCCCAGGGCCCTGATAATCCTCAGATGTCTGCGTCAAATCTCCACCAGCGCCAAATCCCATGGATCTCAGGACCCGCACAAAGATCCGTTGAATAAAATTTTATTCTGCAGATCTCCCACACAAGAGCCTGAGCAACAAGGATTTGTTGATAATCAATGGTGGGCTGCTCGATCCATCGAAAATCCAGCATGCTCTTCTTCTAGAAAAATCCGACGGTTTTTTTTGTTCCCTTATGTTCAAAAATCCGTCGGAAATCTTGTTCTGCAAAATCCGTCGGAAAATCCAGCATGCTCTTCTTCTAGAAAATCCGGCGTTTTTTTTGTTCCCTTATGCTCAAGAATCCGTCGAAAAACTTGTTCTTCAAACTTCATCGTTTTTTGTTTCCAACGTTCGTTGAAAATGATGCACCACATGAATCAAGCGCTTTCACTTTTTTCAATGAACAAAGGGCTGCACCAATTGAGTGCTCAATCCTGGCAACAAGATGCCACTTCACCCTGATCTCAGCGGTTCAAGAACTCTCGCTGGCAGACATCAACAATTCAAAAGACACCCTATCACACAGTCACATAGCACATCACGGCAGTCAACGCACAGAAGCTGTAGCCAGCACCAATGCACAGGAGCTGTAGCTGCCATCAGATGTTGCAAACATTTTGAGCTGAATCATTATATAACTCATTGCTTGTTAATGTTCTCCTCCAAAATATTCCTTGTCATTTCTGGAAGATTCTAAATGTTTTGTTTGCAACATTTTGCAACATGTGATGGTGGCCAAGTCAAGCAGATTTGAAATTTGAGGGAAAATAGGAGAAATAAATCCTATGTGCTTAATTACGATCTATTGACACGACATCATAGCGAAATAAAACCAGTGTTACATTGATTCAGTTCTAACATGTTCCGGTTCAAACCTGCTTGAAAAGTCGAGTTGGGGAGATTGATGTTTAGCAGTTTGAAAGGTCATAGTTCGCAATCACCATCAAAAAGATTGAATGCCATAGGGAATGGATGTGTCAGATTCAATATTTTGAGCCATACCCATATGATTTGGTCAACATCTTTCATCCCCAGCATACTCCCATCGGATTGAAAGCTCGGTGGCCAAAAAAAGCCAGCCAGCAGTTGGGTGGAATGGAGTCATACATGTTCTTGCCCATGGGTTCCCTGGCGCCACGCTGCATCCGGCCAAGGCCAAGGAACACAACTCCATGCGCTTCACCAAGTTCAGGCAGGAACCCGGGCCTCAAGAAAGTGGGCAAGATGCCGTGATGGTGTATTTTTTCTGGCGCCGTGATGGTGCCATGAAATTGATAAGATGCCGTGATGGTGTCTTTTAATGGGATGTATATAACTCCTAATCTATTAAAGTTATAGATATATCTGTTAACTATGGTTTACGCTAGATAACAATCTATTATTAATGGGATCTAATGGGGGTTATACACCTGGTTTCTCATGGTGCCATGAAATTGATGAGATGCCGTGATGGTGTCTTTTACTGGCGCCGTAATGGTGCCATGAAATTGAACAGATGCCGTGATGGTGTCTTTTACTGGCGCTGTGATGGTGCCATGAAATTGATCAGATGCCGTGATGGTGTCTTTTACTGGCGCCGTGATGGTGCTATGAAATTCATAAGGTAAGATGCCATGGGGGAATCCCAGAGATGGTGTCCTCAAACTTCCATGGCACCCCCCCATATGACTGTTTCATCCAGGGACAAACATGTTTTGTGGGGTTTGGCACTTCACTAAACAATCAGTAGCAGTATGGATAGTTTTAGATGGGGTCCAAGACTGTGAGACAAAATGTGCTTCATCGATGTCAGATGGTAAGAGTTGGAAACCCATTGAAGACTTTGGATGTTCTTTCTGGTGTTTGTTACCTTTGAACCTGGGAGCTTTCAAGCCCAAAAGAACATGGCCCAAGAACCAAGATTTTGTTTGGCCATACCCATGCAAAGCCCAGGGGGTGGAAACTCCATCCTGACAGCGTGCGCCGCTGAGGTCTGGACTTGTTGGATATCTCAATCTTCACTGCTGCATGACACTGTCACAGCATCATGAATGCATGACGCCACCACGGCATCAATGTTGTGACACCATTAAGGCATCACTTTTTTGACACCAGTAAGGCATCAATTTTGTGACACCATTAAGGCAACACTTCTTTGACACCATTAAGGCATCACTTCTTTGACACCATTTAGGCATCTCTTTTGTGACACCATTGAGGCATCACTGATTTGACACCACTCAGGCATCATTATGATACCATTAAGGCATCATTTTTGCGACACCATTGAGGTATCACTTATTTGGCACCACTGAGGCATCATTATGACACCATTAAGGCATCATTTTTTGACTGAAGCTGAGGCATAGTCATAGTCGTAGTCGTAGTCGTCGTCGTAGTCGTAGTCTCATGACACTGTTAAGGCGTTATTTTTTGACAGATACTATGAAGGCGCCATTTTTTGACACCATGAACATGTTGTAGTTATCAGGCATCAACTTGTGACATCATTAAAACACCGCTTCTTTATCACAGTGTCAACTCATTCCCTTTGAACCCTTGAACCTTGCAGGTCTTCGGATTTTGGTAGCATGGTGGAAATAGTAAAATATTAAGCCGGTAAAACACATGGGTTGGGTGTAATTTGCCAGCCCTGACCAAGTGCATTTTGGTAAAGGTGCATTTTGGAGCAATGTTGTATGGAGGCACAAAAACAAAACACAAACCCTTAAGTTAGAAAGAAAAAAATGTGAAAAAAACACAATTTCCTTTGAAAGGGGTCCTTGGGGTGAAAGGCACCCAGGACCCCATTGACCCTGAAGACCCCTTTCAAGGGAAATCTTGTTAAAAATGGTGAGGAAGTAAAAACGTTTTGGTTTGAAATTCAACGCCAAATTTGAGGTTCTTTTGTAAAAACTCAAAGACCTTTTACAACAACAAAGGCTTTCAGGTGGTCCATCGTGACCCATCCATCCTCCGTGATGTGGCACTCGGCACTTCCTGCTTCGTGTCTGAGGCAGGAGGCGAGTGCTTTCGAGAACTGGGTACTCCAGTCCTCTTCCTTTTTCTTACGGCGCTTGGTGCCTCCGGCCCTCCGCTCCACCTCCCAACCTCTGCTTTGGAGCCAGGCCATGAGCGCCGCTCGCGCCTTATCTTCCCACGGGAGCGAACAAATTCCGACTCTTTCAGAATCTGCGTTCCCGGGCTCGAAGCAAGCCTCGGGAGTTTCGTCCGCCTCCCGACTTTCAGCCTTCGCCTCAGCAGCGCTGGACTGCTCGGGCTCAAAGCAACTACCGCTGGCGCCCCGATCCGTCCCCAGAGCGCTCGCCCAACGGCCCGCTACCAGAGCCAGGCTGCGGGGGGTACCCATGAGCCTTTCCAAGGCAAGTTCAGTGGAGGGGGTGTCCTTGGGATGTTGTTCTGCTCTACCACCTAACAACCTAAATGCCTCCCCGGGCGTGATGGTGCGCGCCGCGGGGCCATTAGCACTGTACCCAAGCAACAAAAGAGAATCTTTATTGTCATTACCCCATGACCCATGATGTAATTGGGGGAGCGGTTTAAAAGGGTCCCAAACATGACGCCTACCTTCGGGGGTTTGCAGAGTCCCTCGAGGCTTTGGAGTAGCCTGACCCAGGTGCGGCATAGCGCTGTCCAGCTTCAGGCGACCAGTTTTCCAGGTGGCGTCTGGTACCTTCTTGTCTTCCAACAACCATTCAGTGGGGTAAGTGTGCAAGGGTGGCGTAGCGGGTTCCGCGTCGAGCGTAAGACAGGGTGCTGGAGGCAGGCGCTTTTCTGCGGGAACCGCCATCAGTATCCATCGCTTCCACCAGCACTGATCCTGGAGAGTGCGGTCGCTGACTTGGAAGACACGGGTATGCCATCCTGCATCCTCCAGAATTCTTTCGGCTGCTCTGGGGCCATGAGAGGTGATGGAATCGACCCAGACTCCTTCCGGCTCCCACCTCACAGCAAGCTCGGCGAAGCGAGCAGCCGTAGCCACTTCGCCTCTGCCGCCTGGGTGGAAAAGGCACACATACCGCTCCGGGGTACATTCTCGGTGGCTTGCCTCTTCCAGGGTGTGTCTCTGGACGATAAGCCCCTTGGAGACAAGCTCGATTTTATAAGGGCCGGCCTCTCCAATCTCAGCGCACACCAGACCTTCTTTCAACGGAAACGGGTGCTTATTCGGACCCTCTGGATGCCTTCGGAGCCCTAACTGGAGGGCTGCAGCCTTATCTCCATGGTCCATTCCATCCCAAAGGAGGGCCCTTCGAGTCCAACCTTTGTCGAGAGTCCCCAAGAGCACCTCCGAGAACGGGAGCTTACGGAGCCCATGTTCCTCCAGAATGCTTTGTGCTTCGGCACGCGTGAGGCTGTCGGCAACCTGGTTGTGGTATGTCCGAACATAGCTCGCATGCAGCCTGAACCCTCCGACAATTTCCAAGGCTGCGAGCAACTGCAGCAGGAACCTTGCCGCAGGGGGCCCAGCCTGTCTTTTCTCAAGCCAGGAGATAACGTTCTGGTTGTCCCCCGCGTAAATCACAATCTTTCCCCTCCAAGCAGTCCAGCGGGTGCAGGCGAGTGACACCACGGCGAGGAGCTCGGCGAGTGAGATCAGAAGACCATCTTCGGGATCGGTTCGATCCTCGGAGTACGGTCCCGACTGCTCCTCGTCAGTTCCCTCTTCCCCTCCGCAGAAGTAGCGGATCCGTTGCCAAACGAGGCTCGCGGGCTCGACAATTGCTACCTTTCCATGCCAGTCAACTGCCGCCACCCTTTCTGGAGTGGCATCTCCACAGGCCCAAACCACCTGGGATTGCATCCCTGGGAAGGAGAGCAGTTCCGAAATCGAGAGGGCCGCATTGAGCGGGTGAGTGAACCGGACCTCCCAAGAGGCGCTGACGTCCACCAACAAACGTTGAAGCTCAATAGCCTCCCAAAATCGGTTCCAAGTCTCTCTTTGTTGCTTCTCATCCCCTTTGGCTCGAGCCTGGCCCTGCGGGTCCGCAGGGCCAAGGAGGTCATTTGTACACCCCAAATACGGGCTCAGGCCCGGGAGCACCGCCAACCAAAACTGCTGGTTGCCTCTCAATTCTTGGATGAGGCGCAGCGAGACATGAGTGCATCCACTGTCAAAGTCAGGCAAGTGCAGGAGGTGATACGCCTTCTCCAGCTTGGCACTTGGCAGGCTTCGGGTGTTGGTTTGGGTATCGTAAATGAGCCCCCAAATAAGTTTGCGAGTTTCCAACCGTCCCTCAAGCCAATCCTTTCCTTCGTTGATGCTGGCATCCCCAAGAACAGCACGAGTCAGATGCTCCGTCAGTGCCACCGAGGTTTCCGGTCTCAGCCCAATCTCGGGTTCGATCAGCACCGTGTCGTCCATGAGGACGAAAGAATGGTATGGGACTGTATCCTCCCACCTGGAGTTTTCGGGCGCGAAGGCTTCGTGAGCCAGTTTAATGACCCAAGCATAGTGCATGTACTCTCCGGGCGCACCGCACCAGCCAAAAGTCAAAAACCCATAGACTATGGTGATGCCTTCCTGAGTATTGCTGTATTCAGCTGGAAGATCTGCAGCGAAAAGCTTGGAGTCCTCTAGCCGAACCGGGATCCACTTGAAGGCTTCGGATACGTCCTTTTTGCTGAGCAGGATTCGGATCCTAGGGTACCGAAGCTTCCACCACAGTATTGCTCTGGCGACCTCCTGGTGTCGTGGTTGGAGCGCAGGCGGGTGCCGGGACTTGTGACAGTACCTGTTCACCGGCGTGGCGTCCCAGATGACCCTACCCTTATCGGAGACCGTGCGGTCTGGATTCATCTTGGGGACCCTGGCCATTGGGACTGACACAACCCCTTCCAAGCCCTTGCCGGTGTCGAAGCAGAGCAGGGAACGGCCTTTGCTGGCGTCGTCCCAGAGTTGCGCAGCAGCTTCGTCGAGGTGTTCCTTCAAGCTCGGGTGAGGCGCACTCTTGGTCCGAGTAGTTTCCTCTAAGTCAGCAGATGCCTCGACTCCCCAGATAGCCACATGCCTCGCCCTTTCTAAAACTGCCGGGTGAACCAGCCCCTCAAAGAAGTCACTGTGCAGACCAGACATGTGATCGCCTCGTTCCTGCACCCAGACCCTGCGGATAGCCCGGAGGGCTTCTTGCCATCCACCGGCTGCTGCCAGAAGAGCCGATCCTTTCTGAGCAGCAGACGCGAAATGTTCAGCGGAGAAAGCTCGGTTTCGGAAGAAATCCAGATATTCCTTTGTCGCCTGCTCGACTGCCGGGTCTAGCGGCCGCGCCAGGGGGCCTTTCAAGCCATGGAAGTCTTTGCCCAAGTTAGAGAACGAAGAGGCCCCTCCCCCCCCGAGGAAGTGCAGCCCCCTTGAACCACAAAGGGGGCGCCCCCCGCCCGTCGCAAGCCGGCGCCGGGCGCGAAACACGCCTCAGCGCCGTCGAAGAGGACGGAGGCGAGGGGAGAGGAATGCGGCAACTCCGATGAGGGCGACCCAACGGCAATAGCCAGCGCCGAAGAGGTGGTTTTCAGGCACAAGTAGGCGGCCGGGGACGGTCCACAAAGCGCCGCAGTCATGGGGTCAACGGGCGAAGCTGGAAGGCGAACCCGGTGAAATGGCGAAAGAAGCTGGATGGCCGCGGGATCTTTCCACACGGGACTGGTCAGAGGGTGAACAAGAGTGAAGTGCCCGGGCAGGTTCAACTGATGCTGACCAAGCTCAAGCGTAAATTGCAGGTGCTGGTGGGCAGAAGACCCCAAGGCGCTGGTGGAAGACTCAGGCCCGCGGCCGAGGCCCGTGCGGGGCAGGAGGACCCACACGTGGCGAGGGCGCAAGAGAGTGAGAGCTGCGCGAAGAAGAGAGCGCACACGGCCATCGCAGAAGTTGCGGCTAGTGGCCGGACCGACAAAAAGGGCGGCGCCAACCGGCGCGCGTCAACGTATATCCCCAAAAAATGGAGCGGTTGGCCTGGCTCAGGGAGTTGTTGGCCAGGGAAGAGCTCCTGCAGGTCCTCGCGGGCCCATTGTTCGGAGGGGGGTTCGTCGACTTCCCACCAAGATGCTCCTGCCCGGAAATCTAAGGCAGCCGTCTCAGCGGGAAAAGGGTACAAGCCGAACACCCCGGTGGTGACGCCGGTACGGCGCATAGGGTCATCTTGGCAGCGCGGGCATGGTTTCGGGGCACGGGCGCGATGACGCGCCCCGTGCTCGGCGGCCGCTTCCAGGTGGACTTCCCAGCCAGCAGCAGTGACAATCCGCACGTTGTCCGGGATAGAAGTCGTGACTTCCGGGAGGAGTAACCGCATGTGGCCCTGGTGAACCAGGAGCCAGATAAGGGACTTCGGGTCGGAACGACTGTGGGCCCCCTGGATGACTTCGCAAGAGGTGCGGTTCCAAGCGTCCATGCGGACAAGACAAAACGAGACGTCCGCGGCCTCTGGCAAGGGAAAGGCTGCCAGGCACCGGTAATCCTTGTCGTGGCCGAAGAAGAGAGCGTCGTGCACGAAGATGCGCAAGTCGTCTTCAGCTTGAGTGCAAACGTCAGGTTCCGGGCCCAAGTTGTCCGCGCAAGCCATCGCCAGGCGGAAAGTTTCCTCCTGTAAGGCTGCCGCTTTGAGGCGGACCTCGGAGAGAGCAGGCACACGATTCGTGGTATGGGCCAGAAGTCCAGCGGCCACATGCAGGTAGAAGCACTGTCGGGGCTCCGTCTCTGGTTTGGGGCATTCCAGAGGTTGCAGCTCAGGATGCACGGGTGCGAGCTGGTCGCCGTAGTCATAGACCGCATGGTCACCGTCTCTCCAGCGAAAGGTCGCCCAAGAGTACCCGTCGAAGCCGTGTGCTGAGAATTGCCCCAATGCTCCGCGTCCCTCTCGCGACCCAACATGCGTGTCGGGGTGATTATGGAGATAGTCAGTAGCTTCTGAAGCAAGTTCTGCACTGCCTTCTCGAATAGCGTCCTCAAGGAATTCTTGAACATCGTGAGCGTTTGGAGCCCGGTCATTGACGGCTGTCAGCCGGTTGCGCAGATAGATGCCCAGGTGCTGGGGTAGATCTGGGAGAAGGCCGCAGCTGTCAATCTCGTCCATGCAGTGACGCTTGGCTTGGATCGTGGCAGAGTCGGGTGGCTCCCGGTAAGTGACCGTGCGCACAGCGGGGGGCGCGTGGTCGAGAGTCCAACTTGCAGCAGCTTCTCCTGTCATAAGTCGAGCAAGGGGATCTTCCATATCAGTGGCGGCGAAATTGGCTAGCGCCGCTGGCGCTGGGGTCCAGCCAGCTCGGGTGTCTTCCCGGTATTGGGTCGAGGCATCCTGAGGAGGAGGACCCCCGGTCCGCTTAGCCATTTCTTTCGCCCTTTTGCCTTCCTGAATGTTGGACTCTAGCTTCTGGGCTTGCTCCTTTCGGATGGATTCGATGGCAGCGTCCACCTGGTCTCCTCTGAGTTTCGGACGGGCGGGATGCCCGCCTCGTCGCAAGAGTTGCATCTGCACGCTCCAATCGAGAGTATCCCAGCGTGGCGCGTTGCCATGGTGCGAATGCGGGCAATCTTTTCCCTTGTTGCATTTGCGGTGGGAAAAGTGATCCCAACACAGATACTTCCCGTCTTTGTCTTTCGGGCGGTGATCCATGGAGCGGCCCGCCTCCTTGCTGGTCAAAGCATTTCCCAGGAGGGGGGCGGGTTCCTTGACGGCGGTGCCAGCGCCAGGGGCACTCCCTTTGCTTCCAGCCCGTGAGTTCCTAGGGTTGGGAGCGGCCGGTTGCGCTTTGTCTGGTCCGCCGATATCTTCAGCTCCAGCTCGTCCGCCAGTGAGTGGGGACGGTCTCTTAAGGGCCATTGACCAGCAAGCACGATCCAACATGCGCTGTTGGCGAGGAACAATATCCGTTTGGAAGTACTCTCCTGGTGCCTGAAGGTCGAAAGTTTGAGGCAGCCGGAGCCAGGGTTCGCCATTGTCCCCGGGGGAGGTGGCGAAAAACCGAAGACGGTCAAAGCTAGGGCTCTCGTCTTGCATTTCCCGCCTGGTTCTTCGATCGAGCGCTCTTAACTCTTCCGTGAAGCGAGCCCAGAGCTCCTCCCACACACTCATGACCGAGTGCAACGGCCACGCATGGGCATATTCTTCCCCAAACTTAAGGAGTTGTGCCGCAGCCTTCTCCCAACTGCCATAGTACTCTGCCCCCAGGATACATGCCATGGCCCAAGCTTGGCGTAGAGCATTTCGGTACCAATTGGACAGAGTAGTAGGGTTCCGCGCCCGTTTTTCCAGCTTGTTATCCCCAGGCGGGCTAAACAAGTCAAACTCCTCCTCCGAGGTCTGGGCAAAATCGGCCACAGTGAGGCAATAGTCAGGCGGATTACCTTTGCCCCCGAAACTGAGGGAAGCGGCCCCAAAGGCGATGCGGTTGGTAATGTTCACCGGGAAGCTGATTTCTCTCAACAAGGGCCGGTTCTGCGTCGCTACAGACTTTAGGGCGTGGTACAGCTCCTTTCCGACCGTGGCTTCCCCAAGGTGCACCGTCAGCGTGTCGCACCCTCTAGCCAGGTACAGCATCCTCTCCTCTGTTCTGCCGATCGAGGACAGCTTCCCTCGATCTTGGGCAGCTGGGTCTTCCTTCGCCGCCATAACTTTTGCGATTGTCTGCAGAGCTTTTGAAGTTTCATCGAGGGCCGGAGGTCCCGGATCAGTGTAGGCTCCAGCATGAAAGGGTCGGAAGGCGTGTAAACCCTGCATCCCTACGGAACCTGCTGGACCGGGCGTTCCTGGGAAAGTTCCAACCGCTCCCGGGCTCGAAACAAGCCTCGGGCGCGGCAGGACCGAATCGATCTCGCTCTTGGGGCGAAACAAGCTCGCCGCGAGCTCACCGGAGGTGCGAGGACCCGGGAAATGGCTCGCAGGAGCCGAGGCCGGCCTTACCAGCCGTGGGGCTGGCGTGTCGGATTTCTCTTCTTCTGTAGGCCTCTCCAACGTGGCTTCCAGCATCCGAGTTACGGGGTCATATTCTGGTTCTTGACAGACGGCAGGGGGATGCGCAAGGCGGTTGAGTGCTCTCCAGGCGGGTGATTCCCGCGTTTCCAAGTCTTTGTGTTGTTGCACATAGGCCTTCGCCAGGGAAGTCAGCGAGTCCTGGAACCCAGGATGCTTCCACTTGACGTCCCCCGGTTCCTGGCAGAGAGGACCTGATACGCTTCCTCTGCCTCTTTGCCCTGGAGCAGCTCGACCAGGAGCTCGGCTAGGTCTGCCTTGTCAGCCACCGCACCCTGCATCGCGTTGACTCCTGGTCTCTCTGGTTGACGCGCGGTCTCTGACCTTTGGTCGGTATCTACCCGGGGCGGTGAAGCTTCGCGTGCCCTAGGTGCGGCTTTGGCCCGGGGCTTCTCCTCTGTGGCTCCGTGCAACTTGCAAAAGTTGACCCCCTTCCTGGTCCCTGTGACTGGATGCAGGCACCCCTGCACCGCACATGCTCGACCCAGAAGCGAGCCCTGGTACATGGACCTGTGGTACTCACAGGCATGAAAGCAGGGGTCGCCGCCTTCAGTGGTTGGTAATCCATCAAGACAGCTGTTGGATCGGTCAGCTTGTAGAAGCACAACGGGACAACCTCGGGCCACGTCTCTGCATGGTCCAGCAGCAAGAGGAACTACCTTGCCGTAGTTGTCTAGAGCGACCTGGTCCGCTTGACAGTGCAGCCCCGCGGGGCCTAGTTCCGCCTCGGATTCTGTCTCAGAATCTTCATGTTTTTGGCCCTGGTACCCTGCGCCGCGTTCCGGGCGAGAAACTCGCCTCGTACGGCAACACCGGCACCACAGACACCAGCACCAAGCTCGGCCGCATCTCGCCATGCTGCGGCCGAAACAGCGGCACCAAAGTATCCCGCAAAAGCTTGTGATCACCGCGCACCGTCCCCAGGGGCCCCTTCCTGCTAGTTCCTGCAGGTTGACCTCCCGGTCCTGCGGGACCGTTGCGCTGGCCCTAATATGCACCTGCGCAACTTCAGGGGCGGCGCAAGGGTCTTGAGCGCACAGGTGGACAGTGCAGTTGGCAGTCTCTATGTGGTGACGGAGGTATCGATGCGACGAGGCTCGAACCTCTTCACACTGGCAGAGGAATCCGTGCCGATTCGTTCTTCCCCTTATAGTCCCGTGACGAAGCCTCGCTACAGCAGCTCCGTCCGCAACTAAGAGGTCGAATGGCTTCTGATTCGGTCCTCTTCCCCGTACCTCGCGCTGGATGTACAAGGCGGACCATGGTGTTCCTGTACCCGGCCCTTTCCAGACGGGTATGAAAGGCCTCTGCCCCTGCAAGCGTGTCACATCGCTCCAAGTGCCTGTCCCTTGGCAGTATCGCCAGAGGGCCCTGGAGTGAATCCAAGTCGGATGAATGACCCACGTGTAGGTCCAGACAAGCAACTGGAGCAAGAAGACGAGGACCATCCCGGTAAGGAGCCAATAGCTCCATCGGGCTGCTAAGCCAATTGAGGCACAAAGGGTCCCACAGTAGCTTATCCCATTCTCTGCAACCTGTAACAGCATCCTTACCCACATTTTGATCCACCAGCTGTTTCCGACGTAATGGTAGGCGCCATCCCAGGCGACACTCCACCAGTCCCAAGTTTTGTTGCTTCCAAGCCCAGGGTCCGGGCGGGATGGCCCGCCTCGGTCCCTTGGGCCTGCTTCTGTTCGGTTTCTAAGATCGTCGGAGGAGTTGGTACTAGTCAGCAGTCCAAGCTGCAACAAGTTCCATCCATTTGCCGTGGCTGACGCTAGGAGGTAAACGACCCCTAGCGCGGCCCGAACCATGGCCCCCGGCTACCTTGAGCCCAAAACTAAGGTAAACCCTGTTTAGGTCAAAACCTAGAGCGCGCTACACTAAGCTCCTACAGGTACAATTCTTGGCATAGGTTTGAATTTGATAAGAATCAGTGGTAAAATCATGAAATAGTTTGGACAACTGCTGAAAACCAAAGGTAAAATGCTGAAATAGGCTGGACATGGATTAAAACCAATTCTAAAATCATGAAAACAGGTTCAAAACCAGGGGTAAGATGCTGAAATAAGTTGGAAACTTTTAAAAACCAATGGCAAGCTGATGACATAGCCAAAAAAATGCGGAACATTTTGCCAAAAACATGAAGTAAATTGAACTATGTAAAAAGATATCCTTAAGCAATTTTATGAGTAATATCGTTGTGTGCCTCAAAAATTCGGATGTGCGAATGCTTGCACATGTGAAAAACTGTATATAAAGGGAAATCAAACATTGCGATCTCAAATTGAAGTAAAGAATTGAAAACAGCAACATGCAGTATAATATAAATATGGTGTGTGCCACGTCCAAAATTTAGATAAAGACTTCGAAACACATACACGGCACACATCAACAATGTTCTATCTGTGATTTTTGTGGTGTTTTTGAATTGGAGAACCATCAGAATCAAAATGATCGGGGATATTTTTTTCCTTCTGGGATTTGTATCCGGAATGTATTCGAGTCTTGTATCCTTCTCTCTATGTCATTCAGCAACATGTTTTTAGATACTTGAAATTATAGATAAATTAGATAAAGATAATGCATAATACACACATTGCAATAGGAAGGGAACATTATGAAATCCACGGATAAAAGGAAGAAATGGAGAAACCCAATAAAAATCAGTGATTAAATGAGCCAGGATGTGGGGAAAACTGATGAAACCGAGTGATAAGATGAACAAATAGGTGGGGAAAATTGATTGAAATCTCATGATAAAATCAAGGAATGGATGGGCAAAATGATGAACGCCAATGATAAAATGAACAAGTAGTTGGGGAAAACAGATAAATTCTAGTGGCTAGTGATAAAAATCACCAGTAGGTGGGAGAAAACTGATGAAAATGAATGGTACAATGAAGACTTTGGTGAGGAAGATTGATGAAATCTAATGATACAATGAAGGAACGGACAACCAAAACTCATGAAACATCATGATTAACACAAGAAATAGGTGGGAAAAACTGATGAAACCCAATGATAACATGCACCAATAGGTTGGGAAAACTTTGGAGAACTGAAGACAAACTGTAATGATCAACTGGAGAAATAGATTGGGAAAACTTGGGACAGCTGATGAACCAAACAACAAAATGAAGAAATAGGTGGGAAACATTTTTTTGTGATAAACTGATCAAATAGGTTTGGAAAACCGATCAAATCCGTTTATAAAATGATCAAACAGATGAGGAAAACTGATGAAATCTCCTGGTGAACTAATGGAAAAACGGAGGAAGACTCATCAACATGGACTACAGCATGGAGAAATACGGTGAGAACATATATATATAAACATACAGTTATATATATATATCACGTGTTTTGTATTGTTTTGTACTTATGTTGATTCAATGTTGGTTGTTCCCATATGTTTTCTCATTCTTCGTTCAGAAACGTTTCTTGCTCTTAACTAATTCATATTCCCACAAAATTTACACACACCAAGTTCGAATTACATTCAAAACACGTTTAGATTTGAATCGAGATTACTTTAGAGTTGATGTCATTAGGTTTAAAATTTAGTCAAAACAAATTTCAATTTAAGTCGACATTTTTTTTGAATCAATTTCTTTCTCAATATTAAATTTTAAACAGAGGCCAGCGTGCTCAGCGCCCCAATAAAACGAGAAAACAAAAGCCTTTTGCGACCTCGATTTTAGCTCCCGTACTCTCGTCTGTTCTCTTCCATCCCTTCATGCAAAAGCGTGGGCTCTTTTGTATTTTGAAGGTATTCCTTGCGGTGAAGCACCGCAGTATGCAACTGGAAAACATGAGTTGGGACGACTTGATGGGTGAATGGTCTTAAATTTTACTCGGCTACAATTTTTTGTCTAAAAATCTTAGATGTTTTGCGGATAAAATATGGTCAAAAACGAACACATGCTTTTCTGTCCTTTTTTGACACACATATATATATATACGGATATACATATAATATAGCATACAGAGATGGACACGGTAAAAACATGTGTGTATATACATATACTTACTTCTATACATACTGTATATACATGCATGCATGCATGCATGCATGCATGCATACATACATAGATGTATGTATGTATGTATGTATGTATGTATGTATGTATGTATGTATGTATGTATGTATGTATGTATGTATGTAGTTATGTATGTATCGCTATGATACATTTTCACTGAGATAGCTTGGAAATTGAAAGAAAACACTGGTACACTCATGAAATAGGTTGGACAACTGCTGAAAATCAATGGTAAGATGCTGAGATATTTTGGAAATTGCGTACTCCCAATGGTAGAATCATGAAATAGGCCGTAAAACTGCACAAAAAACCTAGCCAAAATCGTGAAATAGATTAAACAATTGATGAAACCGGTCGCCCACATTTGCCGACATCCTGGACAACCATTTCCAGGAAAAGTTATATACTGTAGTTATTGCAAAATTCTAGAGAAGTAAGAAATTGTGGTCACAAATTTATCTACAGTTGAAGTTGCGAGTATATATATATGTGTATATATATGTATATATATATATGTATATATGTATATATATATATATGTATATTTGCATATATCTAATATCTACATATATATATACATATGATGTAGCAATATTTCTGTTGTAGCTGTGTATAATCATGCATTTCAGATGGTCAATCTTGGTGTAAAGCCGAACACTCACTCCTACACTCTTACATTATAACCTTTGCATCCCATATCAACGCCAGAACACAAAGGTAATCCATCCAGGAACACTGTTTTTTGATACATGCATTGTCTAGCTCATCCTTGGAACTATATATATATATTGACTATATCAAAAAATATCAGTTCATTGCTGTACAATTTTGTTGTACAACTTCGAACATGTGAAAACGCAGTTTGTGGCAGACGATTGTATACGGAAAGAACGCAACTTTGTAAAGCATCATGTGGAAGTCATCTATATACATGCACATATATATATATGTAAATATACATACATACATACATACATACATACAGACAGACAGACAGACAGACAGACATACATACGTATATATATATGTATATATCATGGTCATTACAGCAACTGGCTTAGAACCACCAAGTCTTACTGCAATATATTTGGTTCAAAGCATTTATATATATATATGTACACACATGTATGTGTGTTTGACACTTACTAGCAGCTTAGCATGGCCGTTTTTTATCACTCACCATGGAAGGGAATGAACTTAAGGTAGGAATCAACTCTATGTCAATTGGGCCGAATGCCACCAGTAAACCTCGTCAAACCTGACAAAACCCAGCGAACACCCGCAAACCCAGCTAACCTCGGCAAACCCTGGCAAACCCGGCAAACCTGGCAAACCATGCGGGAAGTGGTAAGCTGATGACATAGCCAAAAAAATGCGGAAAATTTTGCCAAAAACATGAAGAAAATTGAACTATGTAAAAAGATATCTTTAAGCAATTTTATGAATGATATTGTTGTGTGCCTCAAAAATTCGGATGTGCGAATGCTTGCACATGTGAAAAACTGTATATAAAGGGAAATCAAACATTGCGATCTCAAATTGAAGTAAAGAATTGAAAACAGCAACATGCAGTATAATATAAATATGGTGTGTGCCACGTCCAAAATTTAGATAAAGACTTCGAAACACATACACGGCACACATCAACAATTTTATATCTGTGATTTTTGTGGTGTTTTTGAATTGGAGAACCATCAGAATCAAAATGATCGGGGATATTTTTTTCCTTCTGGGATTTGTATCCGGAATGTATTCGAGTCTTGTATCCTTCTCTCTATGTCATTCAGCAACATGTTTTTAGATACTCGAAATTATAGATAAATTAGATAAAGATAATGTATAATACACACATTGCAATAGGACGGGAACATGATGAAATTCACGGATAAAAGGAAGAAATGGAGAAACCCAATAAAAATCAGTGATTAAATGAGCCAGGATGTGGGGAAGACTGATGAAACCGAGTGAGAAATGAACAAATAGGTTGGGAAAACTGGTTGAAATCTCATGATAAAATCAAGGAATGGATGGGCTAAATGATGAACGCCAATGATCCCCATGACTTAACTTTTGTATTGGAGGGGGGGTGTACCCCCATTTGATAATACATCAATTTGGGAAACCTGAGGAAATGTAAGGTTTCGGGTATAGTATATTTAACATGATCTTTTCCTCTGTTGACGGGTTCCTCCGCTTTACTCTTTCATTCTCTATCTTTTCCTCTTCTTTCATTATCTTTTGTTTCCTGTTTTATCTTTTTGTTCCCTGTGGTCTTTTTGATCTTTTCCTCTGTTGCCGGGTTCCTCCGCTTTACTCTTTCATTCTCTATCTGTTCCTTTTCTTTCATTATCTTTTGTTTCCTGTTTTCTCTTTTTGTTCCCTGTAGTCGTTTTATGTCTTTTTAACCCCTTTTCTCTTTCCATTTCATTCCATTTCTTTCCTCTCAGCCTCTTTTGTTTCTCTTTTGTTTCTCTTTTGTTTCTCTATGTTACTCTATCCGCTCCGCTCCGCTCCGCTCCGCTCCGCTCTGCTCTGCTCTGCTCTGCTCTGCTCTCTCCCTCCTCTACTTTATTCTTTCTCCTCGTTTTCTATTCTAGGTTGCCGGGTTGCCGGGTCGCCGGGTCGC